TAAAGGATGATTCCTTTAACGAAATTTTCCTTTAACAGCATGATTCTATTAAAAAATATTAGGACGGCCGTAGTTAGAGAGAGTATCGAAGGAGCAGATGCCTAGGAAGAGGAAGAAGAAGAGGTTTATTAAATACTCATAAATAGGAGTTCAGAATAGCCGAGAATTAGGAAGGCTTTAGTTAGAGAGAGTATCGAAGGATCAGAAGAGTAATTAGGGAAAAGAAGAAAAAGAAGAGATTTATTAAATACTCATAAATCGTATATCAACATAGCTGAAAATTAGAAAGCCGAAGTTTGAGAGGGTATCGAGGGAATAAAAGACTAAAACGAGTAAACAAAGGAGAGTTTTTTTTTTAAATACTCATACATAGGAGTTTAAATTAGCCGAGAATTAGGGAGGCCGTAGTTAGAGAGAATATCGAAGGAAAAGAAGACTAACTAGAGAAAACAAAGAAAAGGTTTGTTTTTTTAAATATTCATATATAGGAGTTCAAAATAACCGTGATTAGAGAGAGTATCAACAGAAAAGCAGACTCGGTAAGGAAAACAAAAAAGAGATTTATTGATTACTCATACATAGGAGTTCAAAATAGCCGAGAATTAGGAAGGCCGTGATTAGAGAGAGTATCGTAGAAACAGAAGACTTGGCAGGGAAAACAAAGAAGAGGTTTATTAAATACTCATAGACAGGAGATCAAAATAGCTGAGAATTAAAAAGGCCGTAGTTAGAGAGTATCGAAGGAAAAGAAGACTAGAGTGAGGAAACAAAGAAGAGGTTTATTAAATAATCAAATATGAGTTCAAAAATATTTGAGAATTAGGAAGGCCGTATTTGGAGAGAGTATCGAAGGAACAGAAGACTTTTTTGAGGAAACAAAGAAGAGGTTTATTTACTCATAGATAGGAGTTCGAAATAGCCGAGAATTAGGAAGGCCGTATTTGGAGAGAGTATCGAAGGAACAGAAGACTAGAGTGAGGAAACAAAGAAGAGGTTTATTAAATACTCATAGATAGGTGTTCGAAATAGCCGAGAATTAGGAAGGCCGTATTTGGAGAGAGTATCGAAGGAACAGAAGACTAAGTAAGAAAAATAAAGAAGAATCTTATTAATTACTCATATAGGAGTTCAAAATAACCGAGAATTAATAAGGCGGTATTTAGAGAGAGTATCAAAGAATAGAAAACTAGTCAGGGAAAACAAAGAAGAACTCCTTTATAATATTATTCGTACATAGGAGTTCAAATTAGCCGAGAAATAGGAGCGTCGTAGTTAGAGTGAGTAGCGAAGGAATGAAGACGAGGTAGGAAAAACAAAGAAGAGGCTTATTAAATACGCATACATAGGAGATCAAAATAGCCGAAAATTAGGAAGAATGTATAGAGTATATAAGCAAATATATGGATATAGATCCGACAGTATGAAGAAAAATATATACGGAAAAAAAACAAACAAAAAATCCTTATATGCAATTATGCTGTTTTAATGTTAATATGTCAACGTCGGACGTTTCGGTCTAATAAATTGAATTGATAATGTTAATTATATTTTATGAATATGCCCTGAAGATGGTTTATTGGACCGAAACGTCTGACGTTGACCTATTAACATTAAAACAGCATAATTGTATATGAGGATTTTTGTTTGTTTTTTTTTCCCTATATATTTTTCTTCATAGAGTATATGAAGGTATATAAGAGTAGGTAGGGAAAGCACAGGAGAGTTTTATTACATACTCATACAGAGTTCAATATAGCCGAGAATTAAGAAGGCTGTATTTAGGGAGCTTATCGAAGGAATAGAAGACTTGGTAGAGAAAAACAAAGAGGTTTATTAAATATGCATACATAGAATGGAAAATTTGTGTAAATCAAATACTTCTCAAACCCAACTTATTTTCTTTCTTTCTTTTTTTTTTTTTTTTTTTTTACCTGGTATCGTTCCATGAATGGTAGCTAAGGCACAAAGGTTTATTGAGTCAGGAAGAATTTGGAAATGAATCGTTAATAATGAGCTCAAAACGAAAATCTTTGTTTGTCAGGAGGACAATAGAAAGAGGTCGACATTGCATTTAACTTTTTCCAGATTAAACCTGGTTGGAAATACCTGGAACGTAAAGGGAGAGCTACAATCAAGATGTGCGAGAAAAGAAATTGTCAGCATAGGATTTAAATTTACGTCTAGCCAGCTGATCTGTGAATGGATGAGATCTCGACACCAGTACTGCGCTGAAATATAAAATGTCTAAGTACCATAAAAATACGAAATAAATATAAAGGCCCAAATGGTGAATGGTGAAAGATATTGGTCTTCTTCTGTCTCACGGTTAAATTTAGCTAGTCCCAATCACTGACTCAAACATACTACAATATTCCTTACACCAAAACAACGCATTCTTAATTACTATTCTTACTACATCTACCATAATATCACAGAATCTCTATAAAACTTCTAACTAGTCCCCATATCTACAATTCTTGTCTGTGGGTGAGATGGGAATGTAACAACAATTTAAAAACTAAACCCTAATGTGTATTTACAAATACGAACAAAATCTCTCTACAAGAAACTAAATCAAACATTGTTAGTAGCACCCCCCCCTCTCAGAGCTCATCCGAATAAATCCCATGAAAGTATTTATTGAAGACACAGGTAAGCAACCTTACAGCGGTTGGAAAGTGACGGAAACCGAGCTGCCTAACAAGGATCATTAATATTGCCGATTCTTTTTTGGGTCTTATCAAGGAGCACAAGGTAAATAGCACGAGACCCAGACCATATGTAGCAGCAATATCCTAAACATGGACGAGTGGTTGGCTTAAAGATATACAAGATAAATTCTACAGTGAACAATTGTCTCGAATCACACAGTGAACCAACTTTCTTAACAGTTGATTTAGCAATAGATTCAATATAGTCTTTCTACTTTCTGTCAGCTGAGAATATTAGCCCGAAAAGGCACAACGAGTCACTTCCCTGGAGGTTAGCATCGGCCAAGCTTATGGAAGACAGAGAAGGGTCTCTCGCATGATTAGTGGAGATAGGTTTAGTTTTAGGAGGCGATAAAGTGAAGCAGTCATCTTTTGCCCCACTGATTGACGGGCTTGAGGTCGTTTTGGACATAGGCTGCAATTTTCACTTTGTCAGACTTACCAGTCTTACTCTCGAGGCTTGATTTTAGTATACCCAAAAGGAACTTTTAATGGGTTTACTGTATAAATTTTTTTAAAAATCAGGAATTAAATTATTGTCAGAAATCAATGAAAGTAATTTTCTTACTGATAGAAACATATATATATATATATATATATATATATATATATATATATATATATATTATTATATTTATTATTATTATTATTATTATTATTATTAAAGAAATCTTATAATTATAAGAAACTATACTCGCTCGGAAAACCTTTGGTGCATTGATTTGCAAATAATCAAACAAATACCAAAGGGAAAAAAAAGGTATAAAAAATGATAGAACCAAGAATATGTACGTTAACCGAAAATAATCGTCCAGCATGCAAGTCCAAAGCCCAAAGAAAAAAAAAACCCGATGCGTGTACCCAAAATAACTAAATAAAGTGCTCAATGAAATGAGTGGGGCAGACCTAGTTAAACCTAGAGATTAAAGACAAACCTACCAATGTTTAATTTTGAAGCTGGATCGTCAGGGAAGGCCGAATCCTGACGATCCGCTTTCATAAAACCTTAAAGGTTTGTATAAAAATTCTAGGTTTAATCTATCTAAATTAAATATCTATCTATCTATCTATCTATCTATCTTATTAATATTATTATTTATTATATATTATATATTACATAAATATAAATACAATATAACAATAATAATAATTAAAAAATATCAAACATTTGATATATTCTTCAATTAATAATAATTTTGCTCTGTCTTTTGGCATAGAACTCTCCCTGGATCTACCTAAAAAAATGAAATATGGGTTAATATATGTCTTAATATATATATATATATATATATATATATATATATATATATATATATATATATATATATTTATCATTTTTTGTATCGAGCACTATTTTTTAAAATAATAACTAAAATACGGAAAAATACTGAGGAACTTTGGATTATTTACCTAACCAGTTCCTTCCTATTATATATATATATATATATATATATATATATATATATATATATATATATATATATATATATATATATATATATATATAACAGAACTTATAATATGTAAAATGCATTGAAAATCCGGAAGAGATGAAGATTGAACTATTCCATTTTACCCAAGAGTTGTAAGTTCAATATCTGGCCACAGCAGAGGTGAACCAGCATTTAAGTTAAGCTACTAAATTCACTGAAAGTGTTATATCTGGTAAAGGCATGGCACGTGGAACTAGAACAATCTAATAAATAAAGGACTAAATAAAGGTTTCGGTTTGAAATTTCCGCGTATATCACCTGAAGAAGTCCGGAGCGTACAACGGCTGAAACGTCGTAAATATGGCAATAAGGATCAGGACTACAATCCGAACAGTGTAAATAGTTACGTCTTCTCAGAAAATATAGACTAGTACTTTTAACGGTTTTACTTAATCGAAAATCAGGAAGAAAGGAATTTTCAGGGGTGAATAGGGCTATTATTTGGAGACGGTAAAATGATAAGTGCCAATGATTTTGCTATAATAATGCAGAGAAAATCAAGAAGAAATTGCGAGGGTAGAATCGAAAAGGCATAACTAAACGAAAATGTTTTTAATAAAAAAAAAATTGAAATTTACAATAAGCAGAAAGGACGAATCGATAAAAGAAGAAACGGAAGAAAAAAAAATCAAAGAAAACTTCTGAAGAAATGAAAGATATCGAATGTGTAAGACATCATAAAATCATCAGTCTATGCCTCGTTTATCGAACTTCATCGCCTTCCCAAATTACAACACGTCACCCGTTCTGAAATTGGACATATAATAGGCTCAACGCCCTCTGAAAATGCGGACCGATGACTAGCCTGGCATCAGAAAGGGGTTGATCATTTCTCTGGTCAGTTAAAAGGCGATAAAACTAATGCCATTGGCTTCATTAGAGTCGTAACGATGCAAGTGACGTGGACCATTGGCGCCATTTCGAATATTTCCCGCCTTTTACTTTTTTTTTCTTTTTTTTTTTTTTTTGGTGTTTCGCTTTTTTTTCTCTTTTGTGTCGCTTCAGATTCTTTCTCTATTTTCTTCCTCTCTTTTCTCTCTCTCTCTCTCTCACTCTCTCTCTCTCTCCCCTCTCTCTCTCTCCCCTCTCTCTCTTACTTTCTTTCTGTCTATTTCTTAATTTCTCCTTCTTCGATCTTTCCTTCTTTCGCGTATCCGTAACATTCGCCGTAAACATTTTCCCCTCACCTCGGGAATTTTCGCCGTAGGAAACTTCGTATAGGATTTTTGCCGTAAGACAATTTCGCTGCATATTTTTTTTTCTTTTTTTTGTTCGTGTATTTCAATATTTAGGTATTTATAATGAATTTCAAACAGTTTATATTTGCAAATAATTTGTGCAAATTTCAAAAGACTTACCGAGAGTTTGAAAGAGTTATCTTTCTTTGAACAGATATTTCATATTGAAATTGGTTGCGTATTCAAGTTGTAAGTTTGTTTGAAATAATATATATTGCTTGAGGGAGAATTAGTGGCAGATTGATATTATGTTAAAAGAAAGTTTAACGTTTAGTCTGAAATATGAAATTGCATGACTTAGGTTCTGGTGTCAAATTGAAATTTATTTGCTCCTCACTGACGGGCATGAATAATGTAGGATTTTGATCCTATAACTTCACTTATTAAAATGTTTAAATCGAAGTAACAATGGCGTGAGTCAGATATACTTGATAACAAAGGCACTTCGTATATTGAAAAAAAAATGCGGCGAAAATGTCTTACGGCAAAGATTCTATACGGCAAAGTTTTCTACGGGGAAAATTCCTGATTTTGAGTTTTTTACGGCAAACGGCATTTTAAGAATGAATGTTCCTAGAAATTTTTTTTTTATTTTTTCTTTAATTTTTCTCGTTTTTTTTTCGGTCGTTCCATTAAACTCTCTAAAGAATTCCTCTGCTTTTTCTTTCTTTATTGGCTTTTTATTTGCCTCTTTCTTTATCTTCTTGTGCTATTCCTTCTCTTTCTCTCTCTCTCTCTCTCTCTCTCTCTCAGCTTCTTTCTTTCTTTCTTTTTCTTCTGTTTCTCTCCATATATTTTTGTTTTCCTCTTTCCTTCTCTTTTTTATTTTCTCTCTTTCTTTCTTTCGTTTTCTTTTTCTTTCACTCTTTTTCTCTTCTTTCACTCTTTTCTTTCTCTTTATTTATCTCTTTTTCTTTCATTTTTTTTCATTCTCTCTCTCTCTCTTCCTTTCATATTTCACTTGTTCTTTTTACTCGTTCTTTTTCACTTGTCCTTTCCTTCTCTTCTAATGTATTTCCTCTTTCTTGCTTTCTCTCCGTCTCTTTTCTGTTTTTCTCTCAATTTCTTTCTCTTTTTCGCTCTTTCTGTTTTACCTCTCTCTCTCTGTTTTACCCTCTCTCTCTTTTTTTTTCTCTCTAATAATTTTTGTATCTCTCTCTCTTTTTTTAATCTCTTTCTTTCTTTCATCTCTTTAATTTTAAAAATAAACTCTCTGATTCATTTTTTTCTCTTTTCCTCTCTCTATTCTTTATTTCTCTCTTTTTCTGTTCACCTCTCTCTTCCTCTCTCTCTCAAAACTTTTCTCTTTTGCCTCCGAGTTTCTGTTTTACGTCTCTCTTTCTTTTTCTCTCTTTTCTAAAACATAACTTTCTCTCTCTTTCTTTCTTCTTTCTCTCTCTCTTTCTGTTTAAACCTCTCTTCTTTTAATCTCTCTTTCTCTGTATTACTTTCTCTCTCTTTTAAATCTTTTTTATTTTTTCTCTTAGAATCTCTCTTTCTTTAATTTTAGAACCTTCTTTTTTCTCTTTCTTTCTAGAAAATCTCTCTTTTTTGTTTTTAAACCTAAAATAATTTTCTCTCTCTCTTTCTTTTGTTTTACCTCTCTTTCTGTCTTTTCTTTCTTTCTCTCTCTCTCTCTTGAAAAAATTCTCTCTTTCTTTCTCTCTCTCTGTTTTACCTCTCTCTCTCTCTTTCTTTCTCTCTCTCTGTTTTACCTCTCTCTCTTTCTGTTTTACCTCTCTCTCTTTCTTTCTCTCTCTCTGTTTTACTTCTCTTTCTCTCTCTCTCTCTCTCTCTCTTTCTTTCCTATCTCCTTTTTGTGCACGTTTCTCTTCCTCTGATTCTATTTCTTTTTATCCTTTTTATTGCTGATTATGACCGTATCAGGTTGAAACCGTTCTCACACGATCACCGACGTTAAGCAACGTCGAGCCTGGTGAATACCTAGATGGGTCACCGCTTGGGAATACCACGTGCTGCAGTCTTGGATGGGCGGTTTATACAATAGATAGCAGATCGGAATTGGAAATCTGATAGCCGAGTTCCAGTTCCACCCTGGTACGTAACCCTCATTTGAGCTCAAATAATATTGGGAACCTCTACTCTTTGAAGCTAACGGTTAATTATTATTATTATTATTATTATTATTATTATCTGTATCAGCATAAATCATTATTATCTCAAAAAAATTACACGCACCCAACCACTAACGATGTCTTTGTTCTCTTTCTTCCTTACTCTTCTTTCTCTCTTTTCTGTTTTCCACGCAATTTCTCTCTCTCTCGCTCTCTCTCTCTCTCTCTCTCTCTCTCTCTCTCTCTCTCTCTTATTCTTGTTGAACTTTTCTCTTTCTCTGTTTCTTTTTTCTTTCTATCCCTTTTGTCGAAACCATTTCTGATTATGGCCATATCGGGTTAGAAGATGGCCATTAATATTATCTGAAAACATTTCTTAAAATGTAAAGATATTGTGGAACTTTAAATAACCTTGAAAGTGTTGATAAGCCGTAAAAAAACAAATCAATAAATCAATCGAAAACTTTGCATATTTTCGTTTCTTTTTTGTTTCTTTCTTTGACTATACGTTTTTGTCCACCTATCTTTTTTTTTTTTTTTTTTTTTTTTTTAAGCATTACGCCCCGAGCAAGGCGTGAAGCCACTAGGATGCAGGGGGTTGCAGAAGATTTAGAGCAAGAGCAGATAGGAATGATAGAAGAAAGGATGAGGAGAAGGATAGTGGATAGATCAAGGTAACTGGAGATGTCGATTGACATTACATTTGAATAGTTGGAGATTATAGCTCTCAGGGAAACAGTAATAGGGAAGAGTGTTCAACAGGCGAGAGGTGTGAGGTATGAAGCTATCGGAGTAGAAGAGACGGCTACATTTAACAGTTTCTACAGTGAAAGGGCGAGAGCGGGATGCCAGCCTCGTGGGGCGCTTGAATTCATGAAGTCTGGGAACCAGTGAAAGCAGCTCATCGGAGCAATTACCATGAAAGTATTTGTAAAAAAGACAGAGAGAGACGACGGCGCGTCTGTGAGAGAGCAACTGTAGACGAGATGCCAGATCAGGGCCAATTATATTACATATCCGTCTCTGGATCTTGTCAAGAACTCCGAGGTAAAACAGAATGCCCCAGACCATATATGGCAGCAATACTCCATGCAAGGGCGAATGGTTGATTTGAAGTATCGATTCCGGGGAGAAAAATTTCCTGACGCGGCACAGAGAACCAACTTTCCTCGCGGTGGACGACGCAATTGATTCAATGTATTCTGTTTTTTTTTTTTTTGTCCTCCTTCATTTAATTCATTCCTTTTCTTGTCTCAGTCACTTCTCTATTTACTATTAATGTCTCCCATTTTTCTACTTTAGTAGACACTTCATAAAACCATCTTTAGTAGACACTTTATAAACCCAGGTTTAGTATATACTTTATAAACCAAGCTTTAGTAGACACTTTATAAACCCAAGTTTAGTCGATACGTTATAAACCTAGCTTTAGTAGATATTATATAAACCCAGCGTTACTAGATATTGCATAAATCCAGCTTTAGTAGATACTATGTAAACCCATCTTTAGTAGACACTTTCTACACCCACGTTTAGTAGATACTTTATGAAACCAGCTTTCGTAGATACGTTATAAACCCACCTTTAGTAGACATTTTATAAACCCAGCTTTTGTAGACACGCTATACACCCAAATTTAGTAGATACTTTATAAACCCAGTGTTACGGTTTTTTGTGTATATTACATATAACTAGTGAGCGAGTCAAAATGACTTATTTCCCTTTATAGTCGACCAATAGAAGGTTGACCAATCAGAAGCCGCTGAACATTGTATCCGTCGTGTATAAAGGCGGCCATCTTTGTTTTCTCACCGGAAGGACCAGAGGAAACTTGTCCGGCGAACAGGACAGACGGAAGAACTACGCTCTGCTACTTTGCTGCGATATCCACTGCGAACCTGCACTACGCTTTCCTACTGTCTCCGAAATATTCACTGCCAACCTCTGGATTCTATACTCGAGGACGACCGTCATGAAAATGTCTAACACCCAGCTTTAGTAAATATGTTATAAAACAAGCTTTAGTACATACGTTATAAACCCAACTTTAGTTGATACATTATAAAACCAGCTTTTTTAGATACTTTTTAAACCCAGCTTTCCTAGATACGTTATAAACCCAACTTTACTAGAAGCTTTATAAACCCAGGTTTAGTAGATAGTTTATGAAGCCAGGCTTAGTAGATACATTATAAACAGTTTTAGTAGACACTTTGTAAACCCATCTTTAGTAGATACCTTATAAAGTACAGCTTTAGTAGACACTTTATAAACCTAAATTTAGTAAATATTTTATAAACCCAGTTTTACTATATACTATACAAATCCAGCTTTAGTAGACACTTTATAAACCCAGGTTTAGTATATACTTTATAAATCTATCTTCAGTAGATATATTATAAACCCAGCTTTCAAATAGTGAAGACGGAAAAACATATTTTGTCCTTTCAATTGACAAATGTCGATATTCTATGTGGAAATTCAGCATTTTCAGTTTTTAGCTGTGCACATACGGATGCCCACCAGAATTTTCTCTTCGATTACATCATCTAAGAATGACCATTATCTAATTCCTTTCTCTTGCAGCACGCTATACCTGTATCTTCATATTCTTTTCCTTGTCCAATTCAATTTTTTTTTGCCTGTCAACGTGTTTTGTCTGAACATTAAACAAACATAGATTACACTTGCGTTCGAAGCTTTTGGAACACCTTACTAAATAAAATGCTTTTGTTAATTTTCCCCCAAACCGAAACGGATTAGGCGTATGATCTTTATAATCTTTGAGGGCCAGAGAATTGGTTGCTGGACTTATGTTAATCCTCAGTAGTGTCTGATAGAGCATCTGAAGCGTAGTGATGCTAAAAAAAAAGGCCAAACGTAAAATACAGCGAAAATTTGACATCTTTTTTCAGCTCTTTTGTTGTTGTTGTTGAAAAGCATTTTTGTTTTGTTTTTTTTGCAAAAAGGGATCTTTATTACATAAATTACAGACACTATGGAGTTTGTAATTAGTGTTGCGGTGTTTGGCGTGAATAATTGCCTCAATTCGTAGTGCCATTGAATGGAACAAAGTCCAGATTTATTTTCTCATTGGGAATTTTTACCATTTTTCTTGGCAGTAATCCCAAAGTTTTTGTATATTGCATGGTTTTCGCTGGAGCCATTCTTTCGTCACTTCTCACCATAATTGTTCAAATATATTCAGAGCAGAACTTTGTGTTAGTCAGTCTTTTAAAGTTGAACACCTTCATCCACTATAAACATTTTTGCTGCACATGATGTGTGGCAAGCATCACCATCATGCTGAAAAATCTCTCCACCTTTGTAGTGTGGTAGGAGATTAAATCATAGTAAATATAGTTTTCACTGTTTAGGTAAACATATTGTTTTCACTGTCTAGGCCAATTTATAGTTTTCACTGTTTAGGCCAATTCATAGTTTTCACTGTTTAAGTCAAATTCTAGTTTTCACTGTTTAGGCCAATTCATAGTTTTCACTGTTTAAGTCAACTTATAGTTTTCACTGTCTAGGCCAATTTATAGTTTTCACTGTTTAGGCCAATTCATAGTTTTCACTGTTTAAGTCAAATTCTAGTTTTCACTGTCTAGGCAAATTTATAGTTTTCACTGTCTAGGCAAATTTATAGTTTTCACTGTTTAGGCCAATTTATAGTTTTCACCGTTTAAGTCAAATTCTAGTTTTCACTGTCCAGGCCAATTTATAGTTTTCACTGTTTAGGCCAATTCATAGTTTTCACTGTTTAAGTCAACTTATGGTTTCACTGTCTAGGCCAATTTATAGTTTTCACTGTTTAAGTCAACTTATAGTTTTCACTGTTTAGGCCAATTCATAGTTTTCACTGTTTAAGTCAACTTATAGTTTTCACCGTTTAAGTCAAATTCCAGTTTTCACTGTCTAGGAAAATTTTTAGTTTTCACTGTTTAGGCCAATTCTTAGTTTTCGCTGTTTAAGTCAACTTATGGTTTCACTGTCTAGGCCAATTTATAGTTTTCACTGTTTAGGCCAATTTATAGTTTTCACTGTTTAAGTCAACTTATAGTTTTCACTGTTTAGGCCAATTCATAGTTTTCACTGTTTAGGTCAACTTCTAGTTTTCATTGTTTAGGATTCATGACCATAGCTCATTTTCAGGCTTATTTGTCTGCAAAAAAAGCCGGAAGAACAAGTCAAAGAGAATGTTATGTCGACATGCAAATTTATCGAAGAGGAAATAAAGTAAATATAGCGAAAAATTGCCTCAAAGAATGCACAAAAAAGGGACATTTTACAAAATAATAGGTCAAATGTGTTGGTTTTCCAACGTGACGAAACTGGCCACAATTTTGACTACTCCGATCAAAAAAATAAATAATTTACTGTGACGTAAATGTTTCGAAAGTGCCTTAATCGCAAGGTCATCGGCAGTAAATTTGCGATCTGGCTCTTACAACATTTTACCATTCCTGGTAGATTTTGTAATATCATAGTGTGGAATACCTAATTGCAAAAGTGGTGGAAATAAAAAGACTCTAAATGAATTCGCCTCAATATATATTAGAGAAAATCTAAAATTCCCAGCACCTCTCGGTCGCGCGCATATACAATCCTACCAACATAAGAAATTTAATCCGATGAAGTCCTGAAGGACGAAATGCGTCACAAATAAACTTTTCCACTTTGTCATACAATTTCTCCATATATATATATATATATATATATATATATATATATATATATATATATATATATGTGGGGGGATGTTATAACATGTATATGTTATAATTTTGAAAAAATATATGTATGTATGTATTTGTGTATTTAGGCAGCAAATTCTCATTTCGACATGTCCGATTGAATTAATTACAGACATTATGTTTGCTAACTTTTAATAAAATCCGTTCATAC